AATTCCCCAGTTCTCCCAGTAGGTTTGAAGGCGTCCACCCACTTGTGAAGGTTGTACAGGAAGGGCTGGGGGTGGAAGACTCCAGTCGTTCCGAAACCCCTCTTTCATCGTCTCTGATCCTTGGCGCCTCTGGGTGCCCTGCCTCGTCCAGGTCGTCCTCTATAGTTGCCGGCTGGGCGACGAAAAGCGTCCTTCCCCGCCTCTGGAGGAGCTCATTTTCTTGTCTCTTGCCTTCTGGATGCCTGGGAACTTCGACTTGCCCAAGTAGCGCTGGGACGTCTGCCTGATGACACTGGCAGTATCGATGGACTTTATCATGAGGACCTCTCTGGAGTCTTTGGTAACTTCTTTGGAGACGTCGTCAATCTCCCCTGCGAAGATGGATGGCGTCGACCATGGGGCTGTGTACAGCGACTTCGTGAAGTGTTCACTTCAGTTGCAGGATGCTAGTAGACCTTGCCGCCTCGCCAACGTCAACCCTGCTGAGATGGATGATAGATGGTCCGTCATAAACTGCTGGTCCTTCTTCTACATGAGTAGAGCAGAGTAGATCATCCGGTCCTCCTCTGCGGTAGAGTCCTTGAACTTGGCGATGAGCGTCTCGTTCACTGCCCTGGATCTTTTTAGGCCGAAGAACATCCTTCTGGTCATAGTCTCTATCTGCGCCAGCTTTTTGTCGTCAATCTTGTAAGACTTGGTCCGGGCGGCGTTGATGACCTTGTAGTTATCATCGATGTCCTGCGCCTTCATGAAGGGGTCCATATTGTGTAGAGAGAACTTCTTAGCTTTGAACTGTGGAATATTCGGCGCCTGGGATTTCGTTGCCTTCCGGAAGGCTGCGTCCTAGTTCTCTTGAACCTCCGAGATGGGATCAATTGGCGGTAGAGTGATTGTGTTGACATCATCGTCTTTCATCAGATACGTGAGTGCTGCATTCTCTTCCTTAGAGGGTGACGCTAACTCCAGTCCGTTGGCCATCCAGTATCTGATCTCTGCGTCGGAGAAGATAATACCGCCATCGTCCTCTGTTTCAGGGGCGCTGATCAGAGATCGTTGAACATCCTCCGCTGGAGATCTGCGTGGAGATGAGCCTGTAGAGCTGCGCCTGTAGGGCGATCTGCGTGGAGACCTGCGTGGAGGTGAACGTCTCTTGGTTCGTGAAGGCCTCGGCAAATCCCTCGACGATCTGTGAGATGTCTCCGAAGACCTTCGCGAAGGCTGTTCATCTGCGTCGTCCATGGAAGGCCTCTCCAATGCGTCGTCGGCAGGGGGTCCTTTGTGCAGGTCCGGGTCCTCCCTGCGAGTGGTGTCCAAGGCTGGTTGTCGATCTCTTTCCTGCAGGAAGCGCCTCTCCATTATTTCCATGATCTGTTGTGAGAACTGCTGCATGAAGGCCCCGGGGTTGAATGTCTGCGGTGATAGATGAGATGCCCTCTCTGCGTTGGTAGCGATATGGTCCAGGGATCGCTCATCTGCCGTCAGTGTAGATACCTCGGACTGCGTAGATAACTGCGCTGATGTTACCGTTGCTGAGGCCTGCTTCTTCTTGGGGTGATGTATCTCCGGGATGAGGAGCGGCGGCTCATCATAGAGTTCTCTTTCCTCCATCGGAACAATCTCGGCCGAGAAAGTCCTAGTTGTCTGCGCAGACGTCCCCGTAGAGCTGCTCGTCGTCTTAGGGGTGCGTGGCTGTCTCTGGGCGAGAGGATGGCTTCTTCTTCTTCGCTCTGCGATGAAGGGATGTTCGAAGTGGCAGCCCTCTTCTGCGAGGTGGCGGACAACGTCCCATGCCCATCCTCCGAGGACATCCTCGGCGGATCACTGGAGGGAAGAGGGTCATCTGACATGAGTTGACACGTGAGGGACTCAGCCGGCTTATCCATGACTTGGACAAGTCGCCTGGATCTGTCTTTGCACTTGGCACGCAAAAAATATATTTATTAAATTCAAAATTGGTTAAATGCTGACAAAGGTTGCAGCGAGAGCTGGAAGTACATGCTGTTGTGCAGCTAGGGCACAATAAATGCGGGTCTGCAGCAGCGAACCTAAACCTACAACGAGAACAGGTTTTCATGAAATGTAAACAACTGAACAAACACGGACAAAACCGTGAATAAACAGTGAAATTTACAGATTAATTTCAAACCATATTGTTGAAGGATACTCCCTAAACCCCTATAAAGGTAATGTATAGGGTAATAACTAATAAATGAAAGGATATAGTGCCGTATAGAAGACACAGGTGCTCTCCCAATCGTCCACTAGGGTGAAGAAGGAGAGAGTGAAGCATGTGGGAGCGGTGGCGCCACTTTTCCCGCCAAAACGGCCAGAGGGATAACTCATGGTGAGTAGTGATTTTACATATGTTTTTATTGAAGGGAGCTTCAATAGAAGATACAAGTGTTCCACTAACGTTCGCAAGAGGAAGGAGACAAGCAACAAGCATGAGTCAGGATAAGGAAAAATATGGAAATATGTACTTTTTTTCAAACGATTAAATGAATGAGACATTTGTAGAATGATTTAAATATATATTCGCGTTATAATGAACAAAATGAGTGTTATGTCGTCTGCTACATGATAATTGAAATGTTCAGTATACGACGCAAATATGGGTTTACGCCAAAATTCATAAAAAATAAAATACCGATCGTAGCCATATAAAAAGTGTACCACGCAAAAGAGGAAATCGCTGTGAATGTTCACATGTTTATTTCAAACATGCTAGTAATAAGCTGTTCTTGTGAAAGCGTGCAAAAATCAAGTGTTGTGGAGTAAATATTTCGGAAAACATCATATTTCGCCGCATTGCACGAGCCAAAAAAAGGAATGACGTGACCGCCATAGACTTATAAATGCCACTATACCAATCTTTATCTTATTTTCTTTCATTACACCCCGGTAACTAAGGATTTGTATTGAGAATTAGTATCCGTTATTGAAAATCAAAATTGGGACTATCGCCGATTTTACACCGCTGCCATTGTTCTCACAGAACGACGAGCACACATGACAGTATTCATCAAATACAAAGACAAATATATGCTTTAGCACCCCTAATACACCTCTAATGCTCTGTTTCAAATTTAAGTATATGCATGAGAATACATGAAAAAAATCAAAACTTACCTTTGCAATGAAAATATGCGTTTTTGCCAGCTTCCTGATAGGCTGCGCAGTACAAGCCGTAGAGCTGATGGTTTTGCGCACTGGCTCGAGGGCCGTCCCTCTATTATATGGTCTCTGATGTCAGTGATTCATTCAGATTCAACTCCAATATAAACATGTGTTAACATGAGCTATTGCAAAATGAAAACAAAAACATGATTTAGGTGAACTACTTAAGCTTAAAATCTCATGTGACATCCAATATATTAGTAAGATTCATGACTAGAATGTCATTATACAGTCCTACAAAATTTAGAAGACTTTGGCCTTTATGATAAATTGATAACATATGTCCTATCATAAAACAAACAAAATGATCATTCAGAGCCAGAGGTTCTACTAATAAGTCCAAATATAAGATTGGTCAAATCTATTAAGGGCATTTAGAAGTGGAATGCATAAGAAAAGCAAGATTTATGGATGTCACCTTCTTTATTGTGAATAGCATGAAGTTTCTGAGTGTATGCTTGCTCCTTCATGACTCGATGAAGGAGTAAGCATACACTCCGAAACGATGTGTTATTCACAACAAGAAGTTGACATCCATATATCTTGCTTTTCTTAAAACGATTGGCCACTTAATTCCTCAAAAACGTCACATATGAAATCATTCAAATCCACAAAACTTAAAGCATTTGGTAGAATATTTGGCACTTTTGAAGACACTTATAAAGATACTTCCACTTGTAACATGTTACATGAAACCAACAGAAATAAGTGTATATTTGGTACTTTTAGAGCACATTTTGTTGCTATGGCAATCAAGGGCAGATAATGCAATTGGACCTAATTCTTGATTACCCAATATATACTGCAGAATCTGAACCATATTGCGATAATCGTATTGCGAGATACTGCACCGGTATATACCAGTTTACCGGTAATATTGCACAGCCCTAGTTAAAGGATTTATTTCCAGTTAATTACCTTTTCCCTTAACAACCAAGGATAGTACGGTCTCCTTCCTTTCTTCCCCAACCTTCCCTCCAACTGTGGTATTGTAAAGTGATACACCAGAAAGAGATGAGATCTACCCAGTGAATATGGCAACTTTTAGTGTGCTCAAGTATGTATTTGGGATATATACTAGGTTAGGCTTCCTTTACAGTTATTATCTAAAGCTATTTCCTGAAAACTGTTATATTTAACCCGAGGAGAAAGGATGGCCTTTCTGTTCACATGTTGCTAGATCTAGTCCTGTGCCAATTTGTCAGATACAGTTGTTAGTGCTTAGATGCTTGATGGGCATTTAGAAGTTGGAAGGTAACACAACAAGGTATGGTATGGATTTACAACTTCTTTAATATTCACAACACAATGTTTCTGAGCTACTTCTTGCCCCTTCATCAGGTGAATGACAGAATATGATGCAAGCAAAATATATAGTATGAAACTCCATCTATTTCCTCTCCCGCCAATTACTGATGTTGTCAATTACAAAAATGTCAGTGTCATCCCAACTGACGGTATGGCTGGGATTTCTGATCACATGTTCTGATAACGCTGATTTCATGTCCGAGTTTTTCACCAATGCTTTGTGCTCTTTCATGTTAGTACACACAGGCCTGCCTCTTTGTATGATGGGATACTATGACATTTTATCTGCACAACTGATAGTGAAGACATCTTCTCTTGAAAATCTGATAATGATTTGATAATAGCTTGAGATGTTAAGTTTCTTTTTTTCAGATCAGTACAGTCTTGCATCACTAAACACATAAAAATATAGCATGAGTATGATTGTATATTTTTTATAATTGTAATTGTTTTATATGTTATTTTAGTTCTCTCAACTAGATTTTGATGTATGAGGCTGTTTAATGTATTTGCAGGATCTGAAGAAGATCAGGAAGCAACTGAGATGCTGGTTGGAAATGCACAGAACCTAATGCAGGCAGTCAAAGAAACTGTCCGTGCAGCAGAGGCTGCATCTATTAAAATTCGCATTGACTCAGGATATACAATCCGCTGGCTGCGTAAGAGACCATGGTATACCTAAGTGTCATCATAAGGTTGAGATCAAGTGGACTGATGGATCTTTGTCATTATAAACACATAAACACTCTATTATCATCAACAACTTCCTGTACAAATATACACAACATAATGGCAACTTTATTTAGCATTATTACTTAATATTCTGTTGGACAGTGGAACAAGGTAAACATACCATGCATTTATGTTCTGTATATCTGACAGGGAATTCATCTCTATATTGATATCTCCGTATTGTTCTGTCATGGCTTGTACCCAAGGATAGGAAATGTAACACAAATAACAGTATGTTCATCAAATGGTTGAACGAAAAAGGAAAGCTCCATGAATGGAAAAGGGTAGTTGAAGAAGAGATGAAGTTATCTTTATCGTTATTGCTTCTCTGACTCTTACGTCACTATTTATTAAAAAAATCTGGGCATGAAGCAGTTTATTTCATAAATATACTGTTTAGCAATTTCTGTAAATAACTTATGAGAGCTGTGATTCACATGAAATGGTTTATTGGACAGCTATATAGATTATACAAATATGTCTGCAAGTTCTTGATCTTGATGGTATTAGGCTGTGTGGTGTAAATCCATTCATTAAGGTCTTTCTGCTGTTTAACTGTAAGCTGTAAGCTTGACTGAGGTTTTCTTATGGTGTATTTGTCTGTAGACACACTTCTCTTGACAAACCATTTGACTGATCATTCAGTAGTCCATGACAATTATTTATTTGGGGGATACCTTTTAGCATGTTTTGATGGACTCTGATCATGTTTATACATAAATAAATGCCCTTTTTAAAGTTCAATACTGAAATTGCAGCATCCTTTTAACAGGTTGAAACATTAATGCTGGGATTGCACAAAAAAAGAGATGACTTTTGCCATGAGGTCAAAGGTCAAATATTTCTGTCTAATTGCAACCTGATATTCAGCCCTAGGCCTAGTGCACACAATTGTCTTAAGTAACTCAGTTCCTACAGCATGACAAACAGCTGAGCTGAGATAACTTTGTGGAAAGAGGACTTTGATGATGAGTTCAAACGATAACTTTGTGGAAAGAGGACTTTGATGATGAGTTCAAACGAAGATGCATTTAATCCTGTTCTATTTATGTGGGATTGCAGTAAAAGCAGTAGACCCTTATTTCAGAAGATTGTTACAACACCTGCCTGCTCATAGAATGGGAAGGCAATAGATAATATGTTGTATACTATGAGTGACAAAAACTACTAGATGTTATTAAATAACACTTGTTCTGAGATGATCTAAAGTCTGTGTTCACAATGCAATTTTTACAGAAATGATAAATATGTTTCTCATTACCTGATTTCATAACAAACATCTGTATCTGCTTCCTTCATAATTCGTTGTATAACACGTACAAAATTAGAGAGTAATGATAGTGTGATTTAGACGTGAACATGCTTGGTTTACTTCTTCCTTAACTGATCTCGCTCTACATGAAATTAAACTTATGTCATTATTTACTTTGCTGCATTGTTTGCACCTTAGTCATGCAATTAAATTTCCTTGATAAACAAAATTAAAGTTGCTATGCATGGTTACTACCAATGATGACATAAACTGAATCACCTGATCCAAATGCTTCAAGGTTTTGCCTGAGTTTTGCCTGAATGTTCTTGAACATATGAGAGATAATGTGTCATGCATATCTCTATCATAGCCCTAGAAATATATTTATGGACTGATATGTCATGTTGAGCATCATGGTCCTTCTCATGGCCATAATGTAGAAAATGTTTATAACATACATGCCTTATGCCTCATTATACACATACATGCCTTATTCAGCAGATATTTTGAAGATGTATCATGCCAGGAAATGTTAGCAGGAAGTTGCCTTACACTCCATAAGTTGTCTACCTTGGGGTGAAGGTCATAGTGAAGGTACTTTGTAAAATAATGTGCAAATTTCACTTAAACTGATATTTTTAGTATTATGTAAGTTGTTGCTACATAAGTACATGTTTAAGGCAGTTGAGGACAGGTCAGCAGTGGCCCACTTTCCATGACTGGCATGTGTCATAGTTTGGTTTCATTGAATTCCACACAGGGACATCATATTTGCCTTACATATGAGATAGATCTGTGAAATGTTGTTGAAATACATGCAACTCAAATTCATTCTCAAAGCCATATGTCTGAAACTGTATTATGTTCACAATAGCTTAAACAGTAACTTTTTGAGAGGCATTTTAGAAGTTCTGAGGATGAAGGAAAAACAAGTTCTGTGATAGTCAACTTCTTTTTTGCAATGAATGCGACGTTTTGGTGTAGGTACTAAAACTGATAGCTTCTCCTTTAAAAGTGTTCATACTAGGAGGATGAAATTTAGTAGGATGGAGCATTGAGCAAGCTTCATGAAAGGCAATTCTGCTTGTTTGAGTATGTAATAAAGTATGATGTGTTACAAGAGTTTATATCTAAGTTTTCATATAAGAACAAAAGTTCTTTGCTGAAATTGAAGAGAAATGATGTCATTAAAACAGAAGAGCATTTTGTGGAAGTGACACAGGACTAAGTTGCATTTGACAGCAGTATAAGGCAAGGATGAATTTAGATGATGCTGATGAGGCCAGATGTCATCTGGTAATATCAAATGGTTCATGACATATGTTTCTGTGGGCAGTAGTATTCAGCAAAAAGTGGTGATAGGACTGCTTCTGTGATTTTTGGCATGCAGTTCAAACACCTTACTAATTTGATTAAAGAAATCACACTTCATCTTCCATTACCAATATATAAACATAAGACTTTAGGATCACAAGAATATCTTGCAGAAGAGGACACAAAATGTGAAAGTATTTGAAATGGTCCTTAGATCAAACATAAGTAATCTTCTTCCGTTTTGCATGTCCCATCAATCTATGCTTCTCAATCAGATTCCACTTTTGACTTGATAATGAAAAATCTTGCCATTGGTAACAATATAAATTTGCTTCCCAAGTGTAAGCATTATTCTGCAGGTGAGGCTGAATTTCATTGTTTATCAGTACAAAGATATGGACTCAATACATTGCTGTTGGAAATCCATAGCTTCTGTTTTTCTATCTTGCATAATAATGATTAATTATCTGTATGAACCAAAGAAGTTAGTCAGATGTTATGTCAGTTTCGAAAATTGGATATGTTTATGGTGCTTAAATATATTTGCACATATGATACCCAATGTTTCAATTGTTTATCAAATTGGAACAACTACAACATACTTCCATGGATAATCACTACCGATAATCTTTATATCAAAGTAGCGTTGTATCCTCAATATGATGGATATTCACTACCGATAATCTTTATATCAAAGTAGCGTTGTATCCTCAATATGACTTTGTAGAAGCAACATCTGTTGACAGGTTTTTGTCATACTTGTAGATGCATGTTTGATTAATAATAAAATGTGAACAAACTTTATGTGTTTATTTATTATTCTCTTGCATGTGTAATTGCAAAATGCAAAGTGCAGTTCATATAGGCTTGTCATGAAGTGCCCAATATGTGAAGACGACCACCATGATAGTGATGGGATAGAAAATCCTTATCAATTCACTCAGTTCAAAGGTTCAACAAAATTGAATCGTTGACACCAACAATTTTGGTAGTATGGTGAGGGAGGTGGTTGTTTTCATTTGCTTGTTGTGGTATACACACAGCAATGTTACTTAGGCTGTTTGAACATGATCTTGGCGATCAACATGAAAAACTTAATCACAACATATGAAACACAACAATCATGCCAGTCGTGATCATTTAACTGATCGCATTGGAATGCAAATACACAGGCATTGCTCAATAGGAAAATGCACCCAAATGGCATGTTTAAAAGATGAATAGCTAGTGTGCCACAATTTACAAAACAGCAACATGATAGGTAGGCTTAAAGGGGCTCTGGAGCACTTCCCCGAGACTGGTTGTGGATTTTATTATATTTTTCCGGGGATTCCCTGATGATATTGCAGAATTCTTGAATGGTTCATCTTTATGTTTTTTCTTCCTCACAATCCAAGCATAATTAATCTAATATCATGTTTTTATGCACTTCGAGGCCTCCTAAAATTGAGTCTATTTGTAAAATTACTAATATCTAGGCATTCTGTAAATTGCCCAAGTGAATTACTAGTATATAATTATATCATTCCCTTTGGATTATGGTTGCCTTTTCTCTCTCGTTACCACTGACACATACAGAAATGGTAATACAAAATTAAGCTAAGTCATAGTTGCCCCCAGTGGTATGCCTGTATAGCTAATTGTCACAGATCGACTGTTTGAAAACCCTCATATTTATTCTGTATGGACATGCATAAGATGTGTGAGAGATCAGAAGTTAAAAGTTAATTCTTTGTCAATTTCTTCAAGGATCTCCTTATAGAAACTGGTCAATCTTGTCGCATTGATTATCTTGAAACAATCGCATTTAAACCCTTTGTGTAAAAATGTCTATTTGACTTGTGATACAGACTCTTTATTTTTTACCGTGCACATCATGTCGGTGAGAAAATGTCTACAATGCCAGAAATTTATGTCCGATTTATATTCCCATTCTCTTTGTGCGGCTTGTCACACGGGACCTTCATGTACATTTGAAGCTAGATGCCTTCATTGCCAATAGGTATCTTCAGAGGACTGGATTAAAATGTCTAAGAAACGCAATCTCTCCTCTTCCACTCACCCCGTAAAATGCACTAAAGCCTCATCACGCTCTCCTACTGCTTCCACTAAATGGGAGCCAAAGAGGAAATCAAAAACTAATTCACGTTCTTCTTCGTGTCAGCTGGATATCGCCACCATTCCAGCCTTGTTTACATCATTTATAGAGGATATAAATGAGTCAATGAACAACTTGGAATATCGGAATATATAAATTCCTTCAGTTTTTTAACGGCAAATAGATCAATCCCCTTAGTCAGGCAGACTTGAGCCAAAAAGACATTTATTACCCACGAGGTCAACGTATGGGTAGTTACATACTAATCTCGTACGTCACACGAGTGTCGTATCGCTTTGACCTGTGTCGTAACAATATCGTCTGCAAACAGAAGTAAAAGTAAATCCTTGATTTTAGGAGTAACAAATATTCCATTATTACATGCTTTATACATATTATCTACAAGTTCATTAATAAAAAAGATGAAGAGTAAGGGGCTTCGTACACAGCCTTGTCTCACACCAGCGGAAGTGTTTAACGTTTCAGTGTTGCCAGAATTACTTCTAACACAGGCTCCAACAGAGTCATACATGCTTCTTAAAATATCGGGGCGGTGGGGTAGCCTAATGGTTAAAGCATCGGCTCGTCACGCCAAAGACCCGGGTTCGAATCCCCACATGGGCACAATGTGTGCAGCCCATTTCTGGTGTCCCCCGCCGTGATGTTGCTGGAATATTGCTAAAAGCGGCGTAAAACCAAACTCAGTCAGTTCTTAAAATATCATGCATTTTGCCATGGCATCCTTTGGTATGTAACATGATTAGCAATTTCTTACGGTCAACAAAATCAAAGTCTATGAAAGCGCAATAGAATCACCCTTTAGGCCTGCATAGGTATTTTGTATATAATGATTGTAATATAAATAAGTTATCAGATGCACTATTATCGGGTCTAAAACCAGCTTGAGACTCGTCGTTTAGATCAACCCAGGCACGTAAACGCCTTTCTAAAGTATTAGCAAATAGTTTTCCAGAAATATTTAAAAGAGATATTCCACGATAGTTGCATGGTTCAGATACACTCCCAGACTTGAACAGAGGGACAATCATACCTATATTCCATATCGATGGGAATTTACCATTATCAAGAACTACATTGAATAAATCTTTCAGATATGACACTAGAGCAGTAGAGACCGCACAGAGACTCCCTACACATGCACATACAGCGTGCGATCACCAGGCCTTGATCTGGGTCAATGCTGGCAAGAATCACCCCAGTGTTGCTCACCCTGTGGGCAATGGGTGGCTGAAAGAGGGAGTAAATGATCTGAGGTGTCAATGGGCGATAGGCAACATCCTTCCACAAGAGTTGACTAACATAATATCCAGCAAGAACTTAGATTTGAGTAGAATTGAGGATTCAGACGAAGCTGAGATTGAGAGTCTTCTGGACACAATCTATGATGATTCGGCATTTTGGCACATAAATATAAGTAATGGTAACTCAATGTTATAGGAAGTCAAAGTGAGAATAAACCATCATGCTTTAAGTATAACTGTAACGTTAATGTTGATCATTTTAGTATGGTGTCCTATAATTGCCATCGCGTGGCGCGTAAAAAAAGAACTACGTCGTTGGCGGCGACGTGTGTCGCCCGCGACGTCGCATAAAAAGGACGACGTCTTGCGCGACGTCGCTTTGTAAAATATATTTTTGCTACAACAATAACGGGCGACGTCGTGGGCGACGTCTGACTATATCGAGTGGTTATCGGCCTCTGAACGTGGCTGACCAAGGTTACGTCTAAAAGAAGAATCGTTAAACGAAACAGGATTTAAAACGCAAAAATGCTTCAGTCACTCCCGATGAACATTTCTGTCGACCCGAAAATGTTTTTACACCTATATCCAATCAAATACCACCCTAGAAGGCCACTGTTCATTGTATGTAAGGCATACCCATCTGCAAATGAAACGATCTCTTCCCCACAATCTAAACATAATCACCGCCACTATTGTTCGGTCCGGCATACCTCGGGTCGTCAAAAGCAGCTTAAACCTCACACATGTATCTTGAATTGCGTTTTAATTCACAGATTAGTATTACATCTACCTATATATCACTTTTCCAGCCTTTTTCTCTCTCCATTTTCACCCGTGAAGATCCGGATTAGAAAGTGCCTTCAGTAACCCATGCTTGTCGTAAGAGACGACTAACGGGAGCGGGTGGTCAGGCTCGCTGACTTGGTTGACATATGTCATCGGTTCCGAAATGCGCAGATCGATGTTCATGCTGTTGATCACTGGATTGTCTGGTTCAGACTCGATTATTTACAGACCGCCGCCATATAGGTGCAATATTGCTGAGTGCAGCGTAAAACTAAACTCGCTCACTCACTCACTCTCCATTTTCAACATAGCCTCAATCAAAGGTGTTAAGTCTCTGTTGGCCCCACATGGCCCGGGCTGTCAAAAGCAACTTAAACCTCACACATGTATCTTGAAGTCTCACAGATGAATCCTAGATTCTGTTTACATCCAGTGAATATAGTTATATCTAACTAAATACCACTTTATAGACCCAGTTTTCTTTGTAAATTCACAATGTGGCATTTAGGTAGATATAATACTGATCTATGGATTCAAACACATTTCAAGATACATGTGTGAGGTTTAAGTTGCTTTTGACAGCCCGGGCCAAGTTGGGCCGAACAGACTGAACACTTTTGACTGAGGCTATTTTGAGGGTGGGCAGACAAGGGCTTCACTTTAACGGACCAGTTACCTTTACATGTGGCATTTTGTAACATTTCAATGTGATATGTAGGTAGATATAATACTAATCTATGGATTTAAGCACAATTAAAGATACACCTTTGAGGTGTTAGGGGCTTTTGACGACCCGACCCGAGCCAAGCCGGACCGAACGCTTGTGACACAGCGTGTTTGTTGAGAATATATTGAAAAGAAGGCTTCACTTCGAGCAACGTGTTTGCTGGAAATACTACGCTTTGCGACTCTATAAAGAAGTATTTAAGTAGATATAATACCACTTTGCCTTTCATGTGTACTAGCAAATTTAAGCATATGCATACGCGCTGGCTATCGGATTTGGGCTAGTGTTGTTTACGGTTTAGAATACAATGAAAACACATAAGAATTTTTGTGTGTGTAAATGTATACTTCTTTGATCCTTTATAACATATTACAAAAGGTTGTGATTTAATATATTTCTATTAACATATATAATCATGTCATAATTTCCCATATAATATGGGGAGCAAATTATTTCGAAGCCATTGAAAATGTCCATGCATCCTATTTTAAAAGATTTCTTACAGTAGGTATATTTGTTCCAATAAAGCCATGCTTGGCGAAACAGGACGTTATAACATACATATTGAGAGTCAAATGAGAGTTATTAGATACTGGATTAAACTTATAAGAATGCCTGATTATCGCTACCCTCATCAAAGCTATCAAATATCGTTATCACTAGAAAAATGTTGAAAGTATTCATGGGCTTCAGATGTGAGAAATATGTGATTTTCAAGCAGGTTTTCTTATGTTTGGTTTAAGCAAGATGTTGGTGATATAAAAATGTTTTTGTCAACATTCAAACAACGAATAAAACATATATATTCAGAATTGGTACGCATCAGTAAATTCATCCAGTTTTCTTAGTCATTATTCACAATGTAAATCGATGTTCGGACCTGAAAAATATATCAGTGTTCTTAATGATAAGTCCCATTTAAGAATTTTTTGTAAATTTAGAATCTCTCTACATGCCTTAAAAATACAACGTTTTAGAAAAGATAATAATACATTTGAAGTTCATCATGTTCTTATTGTTCTTCTGGTAAAACTGAAGACGAACGTCACTTATTATTAGTCTGTAAGACTTTCTCTGCCTGCCGAAAGAAGTATTTAAAATGCTATAATGATGCCCCGCAAACGATATATAATGTGCTTAATTCTAATAACGCTGATATTATTAAATCTGTTGCCATTTTCATAAAACATTTGATGCCCATCCGTAAATCACATGTAAAAAACATAATTTCATGTTTCACCAATAGTTGTAATTGAGCAACTTCAATTGTACTCTGGACCACTGGGCCTTAACTACTGAATAAAACCTGTCTGTCTGTCTCTCTGTCTGTCTGTCTGTATGTCTGTCTGTGTGTGTGTGTGTGTGTGTGTGTGTGTGTGTCTGTCTGTCTGTCTGTCAATGTCCAGGTACTCCATCAATGTCAGGTGGTTATTTGCAAGTCTGAACTTCAAGGTATCTAGTCGTTCCTCCAAATCTCTGTACTTCTTTTTGGGGACAGTATTGGCCGGCATTGTACTGAAGCATCTTTGCCTCGTTCAGTTCTTGTTCATCTGTCAAGAACTTGGCCATCTCGGAAAGGTTGGGATGTAGTTTTCCCGCAACCTCCTTGAGACGGCCATGCCAATTGCAACACCCGGGGTTGTTGTTTTTGCGGGGACCGTCAGTATTTTTGGCACAGTCGTATAGTCTCCCTGGTCACTGTCACTATCAAATAGATCGCGGGATTGATCGATCTTCCTCTTGTTAGACATAGTCGTACATACCAATAATGTGCTGACATCGCTCAATTCAATTTATATACCTGATGGACAAAATAAAACATCACGTGCAAAACGAAACTTACAAGCCATGCAGCAGATGAAAGTTGTAAATCCCCAAAACAAGCATGAATTATTATACTTATTATACTTATTATATCGAGATATCCGAAATGTCAGACATCCCTATCGAGTTCAAAGACCTTGAATAATGATACATGATGAAGGATTTTGCCGGGACCGAGATGTTGTATCGAGACAACCGAGATAACGAGTTATTGGAGTTCGACACGGTGCTCGACTGTAATTTAACTATTTATCACACACACACACACACACACACACACACCCACACCCATTGTTATTTTAAAAGAAACTACCTACTGTAATATTACTGCGTAGAGGTTTGTACAGGAGGCATAGGGTTGATAGATGAGCTCATCGGAAGCAGCGGGGATAAAGTAGGCCTGATCTCTATTAATCACGGGTCGGTATCGTTTGATGTTAATTCCTTCAGTTCAGTTATCTTGCGTTTGGTAAATTCTGACTGGTTTGTAGCGAGAATCGTGAAGTAAGTCCAGTTGATTTGGTGATTGGGATGAGTTGCCATGGGCTCTGATGTGGCCGATTTCTGGCCCAATTTCATGGTTGATGTCTGATATTCCTTGATTCTGGTATTGACGGGCCTGTAACTATAGCATTTGTTTACCCCCTGGGTTAGGTTTAAGTAGATGTAACTATGGAATGTGTTTGACCCAAGGGTTAGGTTAGGGTCGAAAATATTCTGTAGGAGCTCCGTGTAGGGTAGGGGTAAGGTTAGGGTCGAACATATTCTAAAGGGGCTCCGGGAAGGGTTTGGATTAGGTTAGGCGAGAAGATATTCTATAGGTCCCCCATTCTACTTACACTCTACTGCACTAATTTACACACATGCGCATGCATGCAATCGTACTTACAAACACCCATACTAACTTTAAAACTCATGCACGTACGATAATACAGCATAGATCACAGACTAACCTTGAGAGTATGCAGTTGTGCTCCCATCTCCAAATATCCGAGGGGAGAAACTTCTCAGATCAGCTCGACCTTTCGACAGCTTGTGAGTGATTTTGAATTCGTACTGACGTTGTTTTTTTTGCTGCTGAGTATATATATCATGCAACTGTATTGAGGAAATCCTTATTATGTTGATAACGCTTATGCGCATCATGTAATGTATTGTCTATGTAAATATTATTGTACAACTTTTGTTAAGGGCCGGTGGCCTAAAAGCAAATAAACTATTGAACTGATTTAAATTGATTGATAGAAAAATCATGTTCTTTCGTCTCTCTCCTTTCCACCCTCATCATCTCTGCTTGAGCATGTAATGCACGTGCACGTGAAGTTCATTCCAGGTCGCGAGTATCCAATCAACAAATTATACCTGATTGGGATGCTATTGTAAACTGTTAATGTATATGAAGTTGAGTGTAATATTTAACAGCGCATGCGCATTAATTCCCGATATTGCTCATTTTAACGCGATACGCTTAGCTTGCCCAGTCAGCACCTCAGCAATTAGAAGTAACAGTCCTGAACTTAAGACATGGAGTTTGAAGAGTGGACGGCCGATGTTTGTACTCAAATTGACTCGTCGCAGCATGCATTTTATCCCGACGACCAGGAGGATTTCAATTAACAAAGGAACAAGAAGCCGCTCGCTTCGGTAACCTTGTGACTGAAAATGACTTGCAGTATTTCCACGGGACTCGCATCCCAACAAACACCGGTTTCGATCTCTGGACCCAAGATGACGGCGACACATGGCGAACAAAATATATCAGTAGACATGTTAAGATGGCATTCGCATTGAGACTGGTTGTACTATTCTGCAACATAGGACAAAAACTAAAAGTATTTACAATGAAAAGAACAATATTGTGTACAGACAAACGATATCAACGCCTTGCGCCTTGATTAGATATCAACGCCTTACACCATGATTACAGAGTATTACGGTCGAAAAAGGGAGAGGTGAAAGTCATTCACACGCTGTCCGAGTTTATTTCAATTCTTTTTTTCAAATGACGTTTGAAATATTTAGAATTTAATTGGTGCTGTAGAAAACCAATACATGTATGATTTAAATTGATGCTTTTTATGGATTAATGACAAACTGAAGCGATTTATCTTAATATGGTTACAGACGGTAGCTCGGCGGTTATTTGCTGGGCATAGAGACCGAGCATAGCCGATAACATAAAACAACCCAAACGACGTATGTAAGGTGCACGCTGTGACATGTTCACCCTCTTAATATGTAATTGCATTACCAATGAGTATAACAGATGATAAAGGGTACACTTACAAGGTGTCCTGTGTGCCTCGCTTCGTGCTTCTGATGAGAAATATGGTGATGCCTAATATGGTCATGATATTTCATGTAGTCTGTTAGCTAGTAGTAGCAGTAATTGTTAGTCTCCAAGGGCGGAAAGGCTGTCTTTGTAACTGCTAGTAGCAGCTAACAGTTGCTGACAAAGACCTGCTAGTAGTAGGTAATATTTCCTGGATCGGGTGCGTTGGGCGTAAGTTGTGAACGCCGGCAACTCGCTAAGCATTCGTGGGTAAAGGTTATCTGTACGTTATCGAAACGTGCTTCATAAGTTACTAATACGTTTTGTATACGTCCAAATCGTTAAGAATACGCTGTGTATACGCCCAACATTGAAAAAACATTGATAGTTCAGCGTATACCAGAGAGACTTTGACATACGCTGGCTAAATCATCAAGGTGGGACAGGGCCTTTAAAACGTGCAGTAGCGTCTACATAGAAAATGCATGGACGATAAAATGGATGGATGTTTGTGCTCAGTGACGTTGTCAACAACAGTTACCGTTGTATGGAAATGTCTTATACACACCAACTTGCCACGAACACTGGAAACGGTGTATGTCAGTTCCAGCTGATCGTACAAGTGTCAACAAGTAAATTAGGCCACGGATGGGCAGTTCCTTAGACAAGCCAGAAACCTACCCCACCAAACAGGTAAATGTCTGTGACCTGCATCACCCAACATGACGGACCGTGTTATAACTGGAATACTGTTACGTGCGGTCTAAAACCCCAGTTTAGCAACTCGGAAAGTAACTATTTATCTGTTACAAAATCAAGGTGGACAGATTATAGGGTTTGGTTTCATAGGCGGATCCAGAGAGGGGGGGCAGGGGTGCGCACCCCTCCTTTTGTACAGAAAGTTTGTTATATGACCATTGAAACTCGGGTGGAAAATGAAGTGTGCACACCCCCTTTTCTCAATAGTGTGCAAACACACACACACACACACACACACACACCCCAACCCCCCCCATCTCAAAATGCTGTATCCGCCCCTGGGTTTAGGGTTGGGGGAACGGAAGGAACTCTTTCCGATTATAGTCCAGGAGGATGAGTGAGTATGGTTTTATGCCGCTTTTAGCAATATCCTTTACAAGATCTTGTGTTTTGCCTACCACTGTTTGAATGGTACAGCACCGAGTTATCTATCAGAACTGATCTCACCATACCAGCCTTCACGACGTCTAAGATCTGAAAACCAATGCCTACTTGCAGTACCAAACTCAAGACTAAAATCCTACGGCAACAGATCGTTTCAAGTAGCAGCACCTCAGTTATGGAACCCACTACCTCAGAACATTAAAGAATCCCCCACCCTTGAGACATTCAAAACCAACCTAAAAACCTTTCTCTTTAGAAAGTTCTATCCCCATGAACTATCTCCTCCCGTAAACTTCTCATCTGTGACTATTGTAGCGCCTTGAGCATGCACCTCTGTGGATGGAACCCAGCGCAATATAAATAGACATTATTATTATTATCCCAGCAATATCACGGCGGGGGCTGCAGACATGTTTCTACATGTTGTTTCTGGTAAGAATATATTCGACAGGCACTGTGAAGATCCGGGTCTTCAGCAACATGTGCTTGCTGTAATGTGTTGTTAAGGCAATAGGCACTGTAAAGAAACGGGTCTTCAGCAATATATGCTTGCTGTAAAGTGTTGTTAAGGCAACATGCACTGTGAAGGTCCGGGTCTTCAGCAACATACGCTTGCTGTAATGTGTTGTTAAGGCAACAGACACTGTAAAGAAACGGGTCTTCAGCAACATATGCTCGCTGTAAAGTGTTGTTAAGGCAACAGGCACTGTGAAGATCCGGGTCTTCAGCAATATATGCTTGCTGTAAAGTGTTGTTAAGGCAACAGGCACTGTGAAGATCCGAGTGTTCAGCAACATGTGCTTGCTGTAAAGTGTTGTTAAGGCAACATGCACTCAGGCTTCCTAATTTGAATGTTGCATATCTGGTTCTCTGACAATGTAGACCAGGACATGTTTCCTAGCTAAATATGGAGCAGTAAGTTTGGATTAACATCACTGTTCCAGTTAAACCTCAGCCAGCATGGAGGAGGTGGGCCCCATGGAGATGGTATACGTTCAGCGTTCACTACTCTAGTTAGATTCCCTGACTACTGACAAGCCAAAGGTCAGGTCAGTGAACAATTGTTTAACATTAACTGAGGTCAAATAAGAAAATGTGGTTCCGATTACACCTCTTTAAAATTCTGTGTAGGTAGGTCGGATTTCTTTTGTACGTTTTTTTAGAAGTAAAGTACAAATTAATAACACATTTATCAATGTGTAATTGTTTATTCAATCAAGCTTGCGGCCATCATGTCAATTTTCTCTATCAGAATGACCGATGTCCGTCGGTGTCAGGAAAAATCAATGGTATCTGAAAGCTTATCTTATTCATTCCGCTTAAAAAAATAGGATCGGCACCAGAATTCAAGAGTCGGACGGGTAATCGGAACCACAACATTAGGCCTGATGGAATTTAGGTTTGTCTTAGATTATCTTGCAAATGAATGAGAACATAAATTTCCCAAATAAGAAAGTTGCTGTGACTGACAGACAAAATAGAAAGTTAATCAAGCCAAATGTTTATTTTTCTGTTGTTCACCTACTACTGGAGTACAATATGTACAATACTCACCAGACAAACACCGAATAGAGCAATGTAGTAGGAGAAGAGATAGCCGCAGATTATGCTGAGAAATATAGATCCTGGTATAGCAAATGTTTGTAAACTGAGCACTGGTTAAGGAAAACACTTAGGGAGACTTGCATCTGACAAACACTTGCTGTTTTCATGTCATTAGATTCAAAGTAATACCTGATATCAAGACACAAGCTGTGAAGTTTTAACGCCTGAAGATTCTTAACCTGACATGGTGCAGGTCAAGCATATTCAGACACCCGTTCCTCAATGTAGGCATATTCATGGTGTCCCTTAACACTTCAGCCCAGAAGGCACGACAATGAGTAACAGTAGGACATAAGAATGGGGCACATGACATAAACATGTTCAAACTAACCCTTTCCCAGTTTCAATATTCAAAAGATTGGTCAAACACTCTATCAACAAGAAATGATTTACGTGCAGGATCACTGCAGGATCTAAGTAATCCATCAAAATAATGGTATGGAATATACGAAATAAGGTGAAGTAGTTTGTTATGCACATGTCTATATTCAACACAAACAATCTTGAAATATCTGCCATGATGTCATCTGCCCTGTACTTTGGTGCAAGATAAATTGGACATACATACGCTTCACTGCAGTGTGGATCCAATATATACATAACACAAACGCCAATTAAAACTTGGTAAAAATATCTGTCCTTGTATCTTAACAAAACTCTTTCCAAAGTTTTCGCATCATCAATATCTCTAGGTAGTTTAATATACTGAACTTCATCTCTGAAACAGAAAAAATACGTAATCACGATAATACAAGATTTAAGATACCTCCGTCAAACAAACTGTGTGAAAATCCACCGAAGAAATTAAAATCTCAATATCTGTCCTGTGATCATTGATAATGCAACTTTCTAACATCACCGAGCACATACAACATCCATTATGAAACATGTTTACAAACCTGCTAGCTGAGACAAGACATAACATTGTATTGCCATGATAAATATGGCAATACAACATCTGGGTGAGTGAGTGAGTCTAATGCCACACTCAGCAATATTCCAGTTATATGGCGCCGGTCTGTAAAGAATCGAGTCTGGACCAGACAATCCAGTGATCAACAGCATCGATCTGCGCAATTGAGACCCGATGACATGTGTCAACCAGGTCAGCGAGCCTGACCACCCGATCCCGTTAGTCGCCTCTTACGACAAGCATGGGTTACTGAAGATCATTATTCTAACCCGGACCTTCACGGGTAACCTCACCTGGATATATACAACATTAATAACATCCACTGCCAGTTACTACTTATACTGCACTACATTTATCCTCTGTACCTCCTGGGCCATCATGTCGGAAAGCGCACATAAAATCTCCAAATCATCGTCATCACCATCATAGAGTGATATAACTAAAATGAGAGAAGACAGTCCACTGTTTCAGTTGCCGGACTGTAGTATAACATATTTCTGTAATGAAGTATTGGGGAATGAAACTATATACGTACCTGTCTAGATGTATTAACAACAATCCTGCATGAAACCTGTACATGGAACAGATACCTTTCAGGCAACAAAACCCATTACTCTTCAGTGAGGATCTCTCGGAACGATTCCGCGGAGGTAAGCAATGTTCGGTGTACATCTGTTAGCACATAGCTGGTGTGTTAGAAAACAGGCATATATTTCCAGGTCTCCTATTTCCATGCTCTTCAAACAGCTTCCTAAGTATCATATAATGTAACCCATACGCCAGAAGTGAGATTTTTAACATAGTGAAAACCTGAATAGTAAACTAATCAGAACTGTTAAATGCCTTAAAAGATGCTTTCAGAATAAAGCACTGAATGCAAGACCACAAGGACTTGAGACATCTGCCTGTACCAGATTATACCGCTAATGCGTAAAATCAAACTTAATTAAAAACACACATTTTCAATAGAAACATATTATCAATAAAATATATATATATATATATTATACCAATCATCAAGTCTTTTTGACATTTCCTCTTCACTTGAAGCCACACACAGTGTTCACTGCTTTTATTGTGTATCAATTTATGTTTCAAGCTACAAAAACACCAGGAGATCGATTAGCACCCTTTGTTCGGCGGTGAATGTTGTAAACATTATATCCAGGTATATCAGTTACATCAATTTCGTCAAGTTTTGTCTCTACAAAACCGACAATGTCATACTCTCGTATAAAATCGTGAAATTCTGGCGACAGGAGCCTAGTTTTAAAGCCGCACACGTTGAGGAAGACATACCGAGTACTTTCCCTATAACGATGAATGTCACTGGGATTAATTTGTTGTTGTTTGCTGTCATAGTTTACCTTCTTATATGAGGGTCCTAGGGATGGAGATGACCTCGTCGTCTGACCTTAACATGGGAGTGATTGACAGCCTCATGATCATCCGCGTACACCCTTTCATTGTTGATGAATAGCTTGTCTCTTACCAGTCTGGCATTTTCACCCCTACGTTTTGCTTGTCTAAAGAGAGGGGACTAACTTCTTCTTTTTCTCATTCATTTCCCTCGGTAGCTGTTCATTCACTCCAAGGCTGGTACCCCTCAGTTGAGTGGGCGCAGCTTTCTTCACGAGCTCTCGTTGCTTGAAGCGTGTAAAGCGCGCTATAATGGGGCGCGTCCTTGACAACTGGTGAGACCCAAGATGGTGCACTCTTTTCAGAGATATTTCCTTTTCAATTTTCAGCTTTTCTTTGATAAAAGTTAACAACTGATCCTCAACATTTTTCTCATTTTGCTCGCTAATGCCACTGAATATGTGGTTGTGCCGCCAGTGACTTGTCATCCCAAAGGCCACAGATTTCTCCTACAGGGTACCCGTCCAACTGCAACTACACTGGCGATATAGCAATTACTACAGAAGGAGAACTGTCCACCCAAGACCCAACGAAGGGCTTTTACTCCCCAATATTTCTGGTTCCCAAGAAGGACACAGGAGAGATGTGCATGACAATATAGGCCTAAAGATCCCCAACAATATAGGCCTAAACATCCCCAACAATATAGGCCTAAACATCCCCAACAAGAAGCCGTCAATATTCAAGATGGAATCTCTAGCAAATCTATGCACTTTAATCCGCCAGAACTCTCATTTCATAAGCCTAGATTTCAAGGATGCATATCGTCACATACCAATTCATTCTCGACCTCAGAAATACCTCTGTTGTGCCGTCAATGGTCGCAGATACCAGTTCCGGGTTCATTCATTCGGTATATCCCTGGCACCATTGCTTTTCACAGTGATCATGAGCCCCGTTATGAATTTTATACATCGCAGGAATTGCTATTCATATGTAACTGGATGACTTCCTGGCTTGGAACCTTCTGACGCATGTCCTAGTGATTCAGACGAGTTTTATCATGGATGTGTTCACCCACCTGGGACTGTTTATTCATCCAGACAAGTGCAAAATAACACCAACGCCCAGGATCAAATTCTTAGGTAGCGATTCCAGATGCAAGAGTTTGCTACATCTATCCACCACTAGAATGTTGGACAGATATATGAGACAAAACCTTCCAACTACTCAGTTCTTCTCCAGCATCAACACGGACAAGATTTTATACTACCGCGCAGGATCAATTACAACAATCTCAGATCTGGATAACCAGCACAGATCTTACGACCTAGAGACCATCATCACATTCCCAAGTCAGAGTCAGAGAAGAACTGGTGGACAGGGGGCACCAATGTCCTTTCCAAGGCTCCATTCCGTCCTCTTTTACCTGATATATATTTGGATGCATCGACAATGGGGTGGGGCGCTCACATGGAACGCCAGTTCATTCCACATCTACGTCTTGGAGGTGTTAGCGATGGCTCACTCCCAAAAGACAGACCTCCCATTAGACAGACTCAATGAGTACACTAATTAGCTGAGCCATGCTGTCCAACCCTATGTAATAAATGAGCTGACCCAGAGTCACTAACAACACACTCCTATAACTCCTAGTTTACAAGTGAATACTGAGTAGTAGAGAACTGAGTTGTTAGAGATGTTGAGAATGTTTTCAAGCACTTTACTTATATAGTTATATTACTCTCAAAATCCTTGATAATCTTGTAAAGTCATAAGTTGTTAAATAATTGTTTTGTACAGACTATGTTAGTTAAGCATTTTACATGATGCACACAAAATATCCCTTGAGATAATGAAGAAATCATCTTAGCTTGTGGCTTGTTCATGTAGGCGACTTGAAATTACCTGATGCACACCATGTATTGGCCAAGTAAATGTTTATATCACCCATTCTCACTAATAAGGTGCAATTGATGTCACCAGCCATTTGTTCATAATCCAACAAATATTGTGCCCAGTATTTGCATTATTCACAAAGTCTTATACTCGCCCTAGCCAATAAACACTTTTTCGGGTCATCTGTCCTTATATTGGCATTGCAGGAAAAGTCAAAGTTGGCAAAACGATACGTACGTTACTGTCGCCATGTCGGAAACGATTCACTTAAGTTAATACTGTCGTTTTGATTTTGCAGTTTGAGTTTCAGATTTAATATTTAAAGAACAATGTACTTATTACGCTGCATTCAAATGAGAATAAGAAGGCAAACCATCCAAATCGGAATAGTTATAGAGTGTTGAAACGTTGTCGCCAAACTTTGGATACATACGTTGTGTTTTTCTGGATGACAGTGTAGCAGCGTATCTTTCTGGCTTAAGTGAAGTACAGTATCAATTATTTATACTCAAAACGTTTACCAATTCAATTACGACAGGTTTTAACTATAAGTATCGTTCAGTATTGGAAAAAATACTTTTCAACACCACAAACAAGATGCGTAGAAATCAAGCAATACATACGTTATCATGCCAATAATTACTTCAATTTCTATAACACTTCACTCAAAACATTATACCAACAACACACATTTCTAGTATTGTAAAACAGCTCTTATCACGATCTGTAGTGTGTATAGATTTGCAAAAATGAAAATGAAAACCATTGAAAATATACATACGTTACTAGACAGCACGGAATTAAGCGTTCGAAACAATATGATTAGGTTTTGGCTATACCTACTTCATGTGGCGACAGTCATCGAACAGCAGACACATTTTGAGAGAGAAATCACATCAGTTTTATGAGGTAATGTTGTTTAAAATTCAGATGATACCATGCATAATTAAAGACGTCATGTTAAACATGTTACAAAGTGTAATTCCTTCAAATTGTCATTGTGTGTTTTAACTACCATCATAACAAACAGGAAAGCGATGCTAAGGGCATCATTTGGTGGTCCAGTTTTCGATCAAGGCATGCTAAAGTAACTGATACATACGTTATCAACGGTAACGTAGGTAACAACATTTGTTGAAGGTTTCAAACGAAAATGTCATATCATTTGAAGCCAGAAACTTTGTTTTTATTAAAAACATTCAGACTTAAACTGGCAATCAGTGTTATTTAATGTCCTTTTATTTTCACATAATGAGCTATGTGTTGGGAAAGAGATGGTCACCTCTCTGAATGATATGAAAATTGATGAATATTTGATTGTTTAATGGGATGGAAGGATTGATGTACAAATGAAAGGTACTTTAGTAGCTTATCAGACAGAGTTTATATATTTGTAATAACATTTGGATTAGTCCTGGGTCTTTGTTATGTAAAAGAGCATACTTACATGTATAGGGTAACGTATGTATCGAAATGTATTATACTTACGTTACTCATTTGTTTCTTATTTCAAGTCGGAAAACGTAGAGCAGAAATTCAGACAGAATATCGGTAAATTCGGAAAGCAAAAGGACCCGCCTTCCTTGAGAAAGAACGATCGAGGATACAGTCTTGTTATGTTCCTTTTGCCAAATTTATGATGATTAATATTGATCACCCTGATATTGTCTTTATGTAGTACTAAAAACTATAAAGGAAGAAACGATAGAATCTTGTAATCCTGAAGAAAACGATGCTGGTGTATTTTAATCGATGTTTTAGGTAAGAAAAAGTATTATTCTTCGTAATAAAAATCTTATTTGAAACAATTAAAAGTTTGGCTACATACGTTACTGTTTGTACTGCAAAAGTGACTGGTAATGTTCATGAGTTTTATGTTGTTGCAACTGGCTTTCGATCAAATATTTTGCTACTCATTTTTTGGTCTACTACGCCCTCAGATTGTCGGCTAATCTAGTTATCAGGTTTGATTTTAGAATGTTTTTTGCAATTTGGTAGTATTTTTGAAAAAAACAATTTGAGTAATAATGATTTACAATGTGTATGTCAAAGTACATATAAAGTCTTTGAGCAGACATGTGTGTTACTAAATCGCCAAACTTATGCGGAATATTTGATAGGTTACTCAAATAATTTATCACATTGTCACTTAATTCTCTAGTCAGAAAAACTAGTCACGTACGTATCAGGTGATAATATTTTATAATTCAAGGTGCCACAGTTATATAACAGCTGTATGGTTATTTGTAAAATGGTGTGGCTGAAAAAGTGATATGTAATAGACCATATACCAAACTGTCTAAATAAAATGTTTTTGCAAAGATTTTGTGTAGTTGATTTTTGACTTACGACACTTACCCATTTGCACCTCATTAGTGAGAACGGGCGATATACAACACAACAACTCACTGCCTTGTCCTGAATGATCACAAAATTTTCCGTTACCATCATCTTTCAATCTCAAATTTTCCGTTACCAGTGTTAAAGAATCTGTGACATTTCTAAAATATTATTTTAGTGAAGTTGATGATGAAATATTGATATATATGACACAATTTTATGTGGAAAACTTGACGTAATTCGTTGTGAATATTATAGTCTTTAATACCACAAACTAAAGATATAATTACCATTTATCTTATCATTACACAAATCATTGCAAAGACTCTGTGACAAATCACAAAGACTCTGTCACAAATCATGAAGTTTCTGTCGCAAAAATCACGAAGACTCCACTCTAACTGTCACCAAGTACCCTACCAGTGCCACTGATGGTGTTCAAGTGACTTTCTGTAAAGTGCTATCTGTGAACTGACAAACATGTGATGTAAAATAATATGGTGCTTTCTCTCATATACTTGATAGGTACATGTATATAAATTATTGTTTTTGATAATATTCACAAGTAAATGTGAAAATATATGTTGATGTACATGTATATGTTGATGCAATATGTCTTAATTTAAAAATCATAATTCATTACATCAATTAATAAAACTACAGTTAATACCTGATGTTGTCTTTTTTATCTGGGCACATACCATTATTATCAAAGGTACAGCTTAATTAGGCCTTATGCAAACAACTATAAAATGTGTTGTTTTAAGCGGTCTGCTTTTTGGGGAGGTCTGTCTTACGGGAAGATACCTTAGCGATAGTAAAAGCACTCAAACAGTGGACTGCTACACAGGAAGAGTATTATGCTGGCAGCAGACAACTCTACAGTGGTCGCGTACATCGACAAACAAGGATGGACAAGATCTCAACATCTTCTCCAGATAACTCAGCAGCTATTTTTGATCACGGACTCGATTAATTGTTTTGTAAGAGCTCGACACATACCGGGATCAGTGAACATTCTCGCCAACTCCTTGTCCAGACAAGATTGAGTGATCACAACGGAATTAACCTTGCAGTATTGATAGACATTCCTTTGCAACTTCCTCTGTGGCACAATCTCCTGAGACAGCCGAAGTCGAACAGATTCTACAACAACGTCCACCAGCTTCGTCTACACGTGTAGAAACATACAGTAGCAGAGGGTGCAATATAAATGAATGCATAGTAAATAATATCACATCTGTAATGCAGAGGATCTCATATTCATGGCATGGTATATATACATGGCAAGGTATTTTGTTGCTGTTTGATTTTGGGATGCCATTAGGGTATAGAATTTGTCTAGTCGGGGGTTCAAGTAGAAATATTTCTTTATGTATTCTTTTCTGATATTTGCATACAATGGACAAACAAGCAAGAAATGATATTCATCTTCTACCTCCTGATAAGTACACTATTTACACAATCGTTTTTCCCGTGGTATCCCTAAATACCTACCTTTTTCTATTAGAAGATCATGGGAAGTACATCTGAAACGGGCTAGTGCTGTTCTGAATTTCTTAACATAATGTCTAGAAGATATGTTTCTGTAAGAATGAATGATTTAAAACGGGAGTATATGGTTTAACCTATTGTGTAAACATAGTGAAAAGTACCTCTTTTGAAAATACATATCTTTTAGCCTTTGCGTTAAATCATATATAAAATACTCTGGTGCTGTTACATTTTGTTCTCTCCAGATGTAAACATAGCCGCAAGACTGAAGTATCTTTCTGACACCAGAGGTCCAGTTATTTTTAACTCTATCATCGTAAAGCATCAGTTCTGTATACACAATGCCATTTAGAAAGTGGTCAAATGTAACGTATGTTATATTGGGATTACTCCTTCTTTGTAAAGTATAGATTCTAGTACTTATTTTAGGTTGAGTCCCATCCAGGATTCGAACCCACACCCTCAGAGTCAGACACCTAATTGCCAGTCCACAAAGTCTGCCGCCTAACCTGCTCAGACACCGTGGCTTACACCAAAATGGTAGTCTGACAACTGATAGTCTACTCCTCTGATAAGTATAAACTAGCACAACACGGCCGAAAGCTATGAATACACAATGCCATTTAGAAAGTGGTCAAATGTAACAAAATTATGTTATGTTTGGTATAATATGGTGTGATCATAAAACTTCGATCGTAACATAACTTCGATCGGCCATTTTGAATGCTTATTCTCGCGGTACCTGACGAGATATGACGTTACCTGGCGCTTTGATCTGCTGCCGACACCGATTTTTTTCGCCTGGACCGAAATATGCTTCGTGTCAAGTTCATCAACGTAAGTTATTGCTTATATACTACAAGTTATACATAACCAATCATAGATCACTAATGTAACTTTTCAACCCATATAAAATGCAAATAATTACGTAATGACATGAAGTATATGTGTGTGAGACCCATCGTCTGCTTTGTTTACCTTGTCACTATAAAAGTCACGTGACCTGGGTCCGGCAGCTCTTGCCGAGTTTTAAAACTATGGAAGCCCAGTAGGGCCATCTCTTATCCTCTTTGTACATAAATTTCGTACGTTTCATACGAGTAATAAAGGAATGCAGGTTGGTATAATTTTTTTGTATAGGTTCTGCTTGATGGAGAAAAGACTGGGAGAGGCTATCAGGAAAGCTGCCAGTACATTCTCCGTTCCCTTTGCAACACTCCATGATCGTATAAGTGGCAAGATTTCTATTGACTGTTGTACAGTTGGACGGGACCCGCTTTTGTCTATGGAAGAAGAAAAGGGATTGGTGTCACATATTGATGCTATGGCCAACTTTGGATATGGGTACACTCGAGCTGAAGTTACCACTCTAGCTACAGATCTTGCCATTCATCTGGGCAAGAAGACACATGACGACAAGCCCCTATCACTTCAGTGGTTTTACAGTTTCATGAAGAGATGGCCTGACCTACGTGTGAAGAAACCATGTTCACTAGAACTACAGCGGGCGAAACCAACATCTGAAGAAACTGTAACACATTACTTCGATGAGCTTGGACACATTATGAATAAATATAACTTGAAGAACAGCCCTCATCGTATCTACAATGTTGACGAGAATGTTTTGTCGAGAACCACTCTCCTCCATCAGTCATTTCATCCAGCCAGTCTACACCAGTTGCAGTTGTATCCCCTCGATCAAGTACAACAACCGTTATTGGTTGCGGAAGTGCTTCTGGACAATCCATTCCACCATACTTTGTCTTCAAAGGGCAACGGATGCGCAATGAACTGATGACAGGATGTACACCTGGATCAACCGGCACTGTTAGTGATTCTGGTTGGTCAAACAGCGAGATTTTCCAGCAGTACCTACAGGACCATTTCTTGAAACATGCTGTCGCGGCATCTGCAGATTATCCACTACTTGTACTGTATGATGACCATAAGTCACACGTATCTCTTCCTCTGATCAACTGGGCACGTGATAATCACATACTCCTGTTTGTATTGCCGGCACATACATCCCATGTATTACAACTTATGGATGTTGGCTGCTTCGGACCCTTTGCCAAGATTTATAACAATCTACGCCACAAACATATGCGGGACCATGCATCAAGCTCTGTTGACAAGCATTCTGTGTGTGAACTGGGTTGTAGAGCATATAATCTCGCACTAACACCAGCAAATTTGCAGTCTTCATTTAGGAAGTGTGGTATATCCCCCTGGCTGCCGAGTTTTTTTTCAGGCGCACATTTTCATACGGTTTGAAAAGTGATCGTTGTGCGAGAATTGCGCTCGCGTGGTCCTGGATCTACGTACGGCTATAAAATTACACAGAAATGTAGAATATTAAATTTCCTATCCGTTGGTATAAATATAAGTGCAACTACCTCGGCGGTTTGAGAAATAGACACTGCTAAATGTCCAATTTTTTGTTATGCGTTAAAAACAGTAATTTTATCCGCTTTTATCGCGCACCGATAAAAGCAGTGTGCTACGAATTTTTTAATGGGGCATCTTTACGGAAAGTGTGAGCGAAGAAAATACAGCCTGATATCTGAACGACATAAGTGTATATGAATTGGGTTTATGTGCTTGTGCATAGCGTTATACGCTCAACATTAAAAATGACTCGCAATAAATGTCAAAAATGTATTTTCTTCTATGACGTCAAACGACGAAAGAGAGGTCATACACGTATAATGATAAGGGGGCATAACTCCGTTATGCGTAACACTAGGTCAATGTACCTCAGATCACTTGGAGAAAATGTGTTGTGGATACGGACGCTATATTTTCGTTATTTTATATTCATGGTGAACCTCACTATTCCAATTCAAAGTTCCCCAATGTGAACGGATGTGCTTTGGTAGTTTCACAATTTATAAGAAAAGATGACAACGTATTACATGTGATAGCACGTACTAAAGGATTTGAATGGCCCTATCCGATATATAAGTTAGTTCTTAGATTCCCATATTCTCCTGTTTGTGTAGATGTAATTTGACTAATTTTGCATCGTTATTACCAGAGTATTAGCCATATCTTCAAATGTAACGAAATTGCTGAAAATAATACAACATTTTAGTTGACGTCATTGCTTGTTTTATGCATTTTGCGACGTTGGAAAACGACG